TTTGCAATGTATGTTTGACCGTGCTGAGGCATTATTTTCACTCAGAGTGCCAAATTTGAGCAATTTACACAGTTTTCGTGTTTCTGGTACTTCGTACAGATAAACATACATAAGTTCTCAGGCATATAATATTTATAAGAAACTGTGTATGCCAGAAGCACGCGCAAAAAGAGTTGTATTAACATTCACACGCCGAATAGAGAGAGCATTGGCGGCGTGTTGTGCATGTACATATGTATGTAAATATAATATGTACAGACGTAATTATATTTTGTGACGCAAACGCATAATTTTACATGTTTTTGTTGTTTGTTATGCAAATTATTGATTTTCTGCAATTTTTCTAGAAAATTATGTGCACTTCCCGCTCGTTAATAACTTCCAAAGAAACTTGTTGTTAACGAATTGCGCGAATGTTTCAGAAGAGTTCATCAGCACAATTCTATATAAAAGATATACTCATATTATTGCTGATTCCTTTTGATACTTGCGTTACCGTCTCCATTCGATGGCCATCAATGTTGAGGTTCAGAAATATATATGTGCATGCGTGCGCTTGTACTTTGAAGTGTCTTATCAGATTCATATAATGAAACAACAAAAAAGTATATTTTAGTATTAAACGAAACATTTGTGCGCATATTTACAAGTCTTTTTGAAATCGAGACTGAACCAAAGAGCTTGCCTCCGCTGTTGCTATGTTTGATAAGAAACCAAGTAGTTCTTCGAAGAATAAGTATACGCAGAGTACACACTCACACATGTATATGTATATGTACATATCTATGAATGTATTCACATGTAAACCGACTGTAGTTGTATGACATAAGTACATACATCTACGTTTGTTTAATATTTGCGGAAATCACACAATTTGCTCCATTCGCGCAATGATTTATTTATTTTGTGCGCTACCTAACCAAATACTAACTGATTAACTTCTTTTTTTTTTTTAATACGCAAGTATTGAAGTGTGAGTCATGTTAAGTAATATAACAAGTGCATTAAATGTGTAAATAATATTTATGAAGCTCAACTAGCCTGATGCCTTTTTGAAATAATAATAAAGCAAATCTTAACCTATATTTTTATACCCTGAACAGGGTATATTAAGTTTACCACAAAGTTTGTAGTACCCAGAAGGAAACGGCATAGGCCTTATAAATTATATACATACTTACATATATACTCGAATATGATCAGTGTGACGAGCTGACTCGATTTAGCCATGTCCGCCTGTCTGGCCGTCTGTATGTCCGTCTGTCTGTACGAGTATTTACGCGAACTAGTCCATCTGTTTATGAGATATCGATTTGAAATTTTGTACATCTCGTTTTCTCCTCAAGAAGCTGCTCATTTGTCGGAACACTCGATATCGGACCACTATAGCATACAGCTGTCATACAAAGTGATACTTCAAAATCAAAACCTTGCATGGATAATTTTTTATTTGGCAGGACATCTTTACGAAATTTGGTATGAATTATTGATCAAGATAACTGTAAAATCTCGGTAAAAATTGTTCAGATCAGTCCACTATAGTGTATAACTGTCATACTAAATGAAAGATCAAAATCTAGTTTTTGTATGGATACTTTTTTATTTGTGGAGGGTATTATAGCTTCGGTGCAACCGAAGTTAACGTTTTTTTCTTTTCTGTAGAGAATTTTTAAAAAAATTAATGCTCACCTGCTGAATAAAATATGTTATAACTAAGAGGTTTTTAGATCACAATCACCGATTGAAACAAACTTTAAAGCATACATACATATAAATTCTATGATTTTATACAATATATTAAATATAAATACATAATATTTTGAATAATGTCTAAATTTTGTATTTTTAAAATATCATTCTCATCCCCTATTAACATAATCTATGCATACATATGTATTATTGTATTGTAGTTTACCTATAAATCATATTCCAAAGTGCAATATTGTGTACAAAGCTTCATAATTTGTGTATTTCCAGGAAATTTACATTTTAAGCACATATACAAGAGACTTAATTTCCGCAAAAAGCTCGTACAAACCGGCTAAATGCCGATTCGGTATAAATTTACAGACAAATACAAACTAAAATGCATTAAATAAAAGTGATCAGTGTTTATAATCACTTTAATGCATAATAGATAAGCGTAAAAATTTAGTGTTAAATAAAAATTCGTTGAAGAACACGACAGAAAAAAGCATGGCATATATACATACATACACATACATATACCCAGAAAGGCTAAGAGTATTGACTGCGTTGTCTTGCACATATACACATGTGCTCATAATATCTATCTATGTATGTATGTAAATGCGTTTGTAGTTGAGTTCGTAGAGCGTGTACGAGTAAATAAGGAAATTCGCCAATACGCATACACATATTAACGCAAAAAAGGGGGTTGCTGCCAGACTGCCTTGACCTGGGACAATGTCTGACACTGCTAAATAAACAGTTAATATGTATAAAAAATCCGCGTATATCATAAGCAAAACATAAGCGCAAAATCACTAACCATTGTTGTGCTAGTTGCCACCGTGGCTGTTGCAGGGTGTTCCGCATTTTTGAAATTCAATCGACAAACAAATAAATACCTTTAATAGAACAATTTCATGATTTATACAACAAATAATTATAGAGAAACGAGTGTTCAATGCGATTTTATTTGTGACAATTAAGTAAATAACTGTAATATATTTGCCTGTGTGTGTGTGCTTTTCGGTGGTAACGACTTTAGGAAATCCCCGTAAAAAAATTGTATTTTTCAATAATAGTTGTTACTTTACACTTTTAATTGCTTTCGTGTATATATGTAAATCAATTAATCAATTGATTATATATATGCACATATATTAATTTCTGTTGTAAATGCAATAAATACAAACGCGTGGTGTACTGACATTTTTATAAACAAACCAATTGGCTTAGCAGTAAGAAAAAAACCTTATAATTCACGCGACAAAATATAAACGATTGCTGATTGTGCACAACGATACTACAAACATATGCATGATATTTTATTACCAGCGCGCTTACCTAAAACACCCGACCTGTAACTGAGACGCGTTGAACTTAAATACGCTGATTCATTCGCTCAGGGTTATTGCATTGCATGCGCTCCATATCATATTTCCATTGGGTTTAAGAAAAACAATCGTCGATTGGTTTCAGTTTTTAATGAATTTTCTTTCATTTCTTTTTTATTTGGCATATGTTTCGGATTTTCAATGCTTATTTGTACGAGTATATACTTTTTATTAGATAATTATATGTCTATTTTTTTTTAGTTGCTGGTTTTGTATAGTGCTTGCACTGGCACAACAACTTTAAAATCATTTGTTAATAATTCAGTGCAATATTGTGTTCTGCCATAAACTTAAACTATTTGTAGTCGTAAATTATGAATAAGGTGACCAGGTATTTTTTTACGTTAGGCACTTAAGTACTTAGATTTGTTTACAGTGTAAAAAGTGCTATATTTACTCGAAATTCCCATATTGAAGTGGTCTGTGGGCAGGCACTGTGCCTATAAATGCACAGGATCATTAAATTGTTTGTTTTACTCTCAGCTTTAGAATCTAATTCCCAGACACTTACTTCAAGAGCCACTTGGCACTTGCATTTTCCAGGCGCTTTTAGCAAAATGCTACTGATTTATATTTGTTATCTTTAAATGCGGACTTTGGAATAGCCCAAACACCGAATATTAGAAAAAAGTCAATAAAGTAACAAAATATTTAATCTTATATAAAAATATGACAATTAAAGTCTTTGCTGGGTCTTTATGATTGGAATATTTCGAATAATTTGTTCTATTTTACTTCGATATTCTTTTTCATTAGACCGTATTGCAAGCAATGACGGTTTTTACTGTATTATTGAATTATATAAAAAAGGGGTTATATCCACATGCAAGCGAGAAAAAACGCGAACTTTTGTGAATTTTTTGAAGAGCCATGAAAATGCTTATTCTTATTTTTAAATTATTCTTATATACATTTAGAAAACGAAACCGTAATTACATGATTGATGTGCTTACACATTTTAATAAAAAAAAAGCATGGTACATTTACAGAATTTAATGTACTTTAATAGTTGGATTCATTTTGAGAACTTTTGGATTACCTTGATGCCGTAGCCGATCTAAAGGAGGACCTTCAAAAAAAGGTGTCTAGCGGTGAGAGAGATTTTTCTACTTAAAATTATTTCAAATCCTAAAACCAAAAGAATTTATTATTACTATAGCTGAATACAGGTAACAATCGAAGGAGAAGTCAAAATTTTGATTTTTGACAAAATAATGGTTTCCCAAAAAAAGTCGTTATTTGTGAGAAAATTTACATTTCAGAGTGGCTTAAAAAGTCGAATTTATTATCAGAATCCTGCGCTACGAGAAAAACGCTTTTAAAATTTTATAAACCGATTATACTGAGTTAAAAAATTCTTAAAAATACACTATATCTCCGAGACTTTTTGGCAGATCAACATCAAATTTTTGGATAATGTTCTCAAATACATAATATAATCGATATATAGACAAAAAAAAATTGTAAATTCACAAGTGGATATAACCCCTAATCAAAATATTTTATGTAAAAAACTTAATAGCTGATCACCTTATAACTTATCTTACGTTTTCTTATAGTTTTTTTTTTAAACTTTATATATTTACTTATTAGTATTAATTATTTTTTTCAACTTATTGCTTTATGTACATAAGTACGAAGGAAAGTGAAGAACTTAATGCTTGCCGTAACACTTCCGTGTCGCTTGACTAAAAAACAATGCATTCGTGTTAATACTAATACAGACATATATTCAATGTCATTTATTTAAACAGACAGAAATATGTATGCAATATATCTACATACATACATATGTTTTGTAATTATGTATATGTAGTAAAAACAACGAATAAGCGAGAATGCGGTTTGACACAATTTCGATATGGCTGTGAAGGTATGAAAGTGATTAAAAAATATTTACATCAAATGATTACTTACAACGTTCAGCGGCGCTTTCGGCACTGCAGTCTTTCAGCTCGAAGCTGCCCAATTTTGAACGCATCTCCATATGGCACGGATTTTTGTGAGAACTCTGCTTTGCTTATCACTTTTGTATAACTGGACTGGGGTAAATAATGACCTTAAAACTCTTCTATTTAATTGTTTCACTCAACTGTATTCAAATTTACATGTAATTTATAATTATTTGCAATGGCTGCATGCGCGAGGATGATATGCTCCACTGGCTATATTAATTAGCAGCTTCAATAAAAAGCACTGTTTACTTTTATAATCCTAAAAAAATTTAAAACACAAGTACGCCGTTATATTTTTGTAATGCCTGCTTGTTGGCTTCTGGTTTCACGTGTTTATATTTGACTTTGGGTTTGCACGTAAAATAAATTTTGCTTAAATTTATAATATTTGCTTTGGCAGTGACTATCTTAATAAGGGCACGTTTAATGTGCAAAAATGCTGGTGTTTTTAATTTTTACTATTTTTTTCAGAATTTTTGCTATTAAATAATTTTTGCAAATAACACTGCGCACTTCAAATATTGTATAATGTCCTTGTATTTGTAATGACTGGCTGTCGTATTTGTATTTGTAGAATTTAGTGAAAATTTATATATATTTTTTTTTATTGTACACCCGCTACTTGCTAACACTGGCAGTGTTTGTTTAATTTTCTTTTTCCTACGTTTTAGCGACGCGTTGCCTGTTCATTTAAGCGAAAGCGAAGACAGCGGTGGTCACAGTTTGGCAAGTGAGCAGTTGTTGGTTTGCACTTCGTTGTTACCCGTTGGACTTTGCGAAATTGACTGAGCGCTGCATCAAGCGGCTCGTCCTAATATACACCACTAAATTGAAAAAAATCGTTGACTAAGCAAAATGAGTATTCGAACTCGTAATTTCAGTTTGGCACTCGTGTAGCAGCAATAACAGCGAATACCGATGACACTACCGGCAGCAACCACTGATGGAGAAATGGTTTTTATTTCGATTTTACGTGTTTAATCGCACTATTTTCGTGCGCTCTTTTACCATAAAACTCAGCGAGCGAAACAAACTGAGCACAAGTGCATCATGGCTTTTTTATATTTTATTTTTGGTTGCAATCGTTGAATTGGTGCCGGTCGCAAATCGATGAATGGTGAATTAATTGTTTGTTGCACTATTCGGCTGCTCTAGAGCCGCCACTTGGTGGCTGTTGTGCGTTTTCAACTGGGAGCTTCAGCTCTCTGCACAAAATTTCCTGTTTATGGCGCTGCCGACGTCATGGTGAGCGTCGTCGCCTCAGTCGTTGGTGGTGGCGTTGGCGTTGAGGCGTTACAGTGTAGCTGAACTTTTGGGTTGTAGACACACGTGTTTTATTTTTCCGTTTGTATATGTATTAAGTATAAACTTCATCCGCATATAACATTAGCCAGACAAGCAAAAGTGTAATTTGAAGTGGGTGTGCAAATTTCTATAATGGAATGATGATTAACAGCGTAAAGAAATTCATTCAGACTGGGTTGAACCGGCACACTCATAAAATAACCACTTGTGATTTGTAAAAAATATGTTTTGTTGATTAGAGATACTGATTTATTAATTTTATAATTTATTACAAGCTTCGAAGGTTTTTTAAATTTTTACTAATCATTAGTGAAAACTTTTTTCCTTTAATATTTGATTTTTTTTAATATAGGTAAATAATATTAATATGTATTAAGAGTATTTAAATAATTTTGTAACCATATTCATATGTTTTGTAGGCTCTGTAAAGTATCAACCCTAAAGCTTATAAAAATAGATTTTAAACGTAAAAAATATTTATTGTGAGATTAAATTTAAAAAATATAGAGATAATTTGTAAAATATTTACGTACAATGAATATTATTTTCACTTAACAGCTGTTTTGAAAAGCTTTAAGGAGAAGAACGAAACGAATATATTTGCAAAATAATATAATTTGATACTCTTATGTTAATATTTGACTATAATACTTAAATTTGTTTTTTTCTACTTATATTTTTAAACGTAAATATTTATCTTATATATAAGAATATAAGTCCAATTGGAAGTACCATAATATACGACTATATCAACACAGCTTTCTCGCAGGACAAACCAAAGTAAGAATATACATATATTTTTATTTGAATATTTAAAGAAATCATTTAATTTAATTCGTTGTAAAAAAAATCTTTCATATTTGATAAGTTCTAAACATGCTGACCATTCGTTCCGGTTTGGCCGGGACAGTGTGAATTCCGAGTTAAGCGTCCCGGGCTTAGAAATTAAAAAAAAATTCTAAACCCATATTCCTGATCATATTATCTGATTTGTCTTCTTTAACACACATATGTATCTATCATCTCCTTGATATAATTTGTTTTAAATATTTTATTTTATATTTCCTTGCGCTGGCTTTTATATTTACGCAAATTTATACAGCTACATGACATTTAGAACTGAAATTTATCGTACCGTTTCAACGAAAACTAAAAAGTAAGTAATGTATAAAAAAATTAATAATTTATGAGTCATAAACAACGTTGCTTGTGGGCAATTTAAATAACGCAAAATTTTAACTAATATGTAGTCAAAATGAAAATTTATTGATAATTTATACAAAACTAGAAGACCCCGCTCATGCCTTGACGTGACTGTTTGGAAAGTTAGAGCCGCACACGTTAACAATTTAACGAAAACTGGATCGAAACCAATTTCTCACTCTCAGCATAATTTGACTCGGATCTACCACCATGATCCTAAATTGAAACAAGAACGTTTACAATGGACTGAAGCTGGTTGTTCAGCTCCAAAGCAGGTGAAATCACAACGATCAGCAATAAAGGTTATGACATTAGTTTTTTGGGGTGCAAAAAGAATGTTTTTGATTGATTATCTGCAGAAAGGTAAAACAATTAACTCTGACTATTATTGCAGCCTTTTGGATGAGCTGGATGAAAAAATTCGTGAGAAAAAACCTGGTTTGCAGCACAAAAAAATCATTTTTCATCAAGACAATGCACCTGACAAAATTCAACGAATTAAAGTACGAATTGCTAGGGCATCCATCGTATTCACCAGGTTTAGCTCCCAGCGACTACCACCTCTTCAGAAACCTGAAACAATTCCTCGTGGAAAGCATTTTTCGTCGAATGTAGAAGCTATTACAGCCATAGACGGGTATTTTGCAGATCTTCCGGAAAGTAATTATAGGAATGGCATAAAATTATTGGAGGATCATTGGAACAAGTGTATTGAAGTTAAGGGAGATTATATTAAATAAAAAAAAATATATTTCGTACTAAAAACATTATTTTACATTTCGAGCGCAGAAACTTTACAACCAACATGTACAAGTATATTATTTAACACGACGAATAAATAAACGTTTCCCAAGTACACAATCAAAAACTTCAACGATTACGATAATATGATATGTGAGGCGTAATGTAAATCAGCACCGCCTTACACATAACTTACCAACTGTACATTGTAACATAGTTATAGTGTATAACGGTGCAGGAGGAGAGCAGAAGAGGGCGCGTTAGGTGCTGTGGTTCGGACGCTCTGCGTCTATAACTATTAAAAAAGCCATTAAAATTTGTTCAACAAAAATATTTTACCACTGGCAGGAAACGAAAAAAAAATCGAAAATAGTATGCACAATTTTTTTTTATCTTTTGATATTATTTTATATTATATATTACTAGATTTGTATCTAATGACTAACTCAAATCAATTCTTATTCTGTGCGAATAAGCTAATATGTATATCTTGAAAATAAATTTTTGTCAATTAAAACAATAATAATTTCTTAATATAAAATAAGTAATGAATAATCTTATGCGCATACTGACATAACATTCCTGAACTAGAACCGGCTACTCTTGAACTTATTTATTATTGCATTGTATTTCCTTTCTAAGTTGTGCTTCATTTATTTAATAATGTATTATTCTCATTATATTCATACGAGTATACAATAAAAACTAGTTTTGGAAAAGTGCCGTTATTACATTTTTAATTTGTATTATATTTAATTACCTTTTTTGCAATTTGATATACAAAATGTCAGACAGTATAATTTTATATTTAATTATTCGTTTTTTACATAATCGCTAAGTAAATCAGTTCACGTTATTATGTATTTACTCTTTAATTATAGTTTGTTGCATGGTCGTTTTATTTTAAAGTAAAACTTATACAAATTCCCATATCATTCGTTGAATGTTATTTTATTTGCAAACGTTTAGATAGCGACGTTATACTCGTGATTCAAGTCACTTGAAATAATACCAACGTAAATATTTAAACTTGTTCCAGCACACTTCGAACCAATGATTAAATGAAAAAGTCACTCATACGCACCGTGTGCTCTATATGAATAATGCTGTGAACTATGAACGTGTGCGTGTCTGTATACAGGAAAGGCAAATAACATAAATTCTTAAAACTTGAAAATATTTCGCGTTCTAAAACTGCATCATGGCTACTACAAATACAACAATTGAATATCTTTATTTCTTACTACACGTTGAATTTATTTCGCGTTCCACAAGTAATTTAAAAAACAATTGAGGACAATTAGTAATTACTAACGGAACATCCTATAAAACAAGCTAATAAAAATATGCACAACTACATGCGCGCCTATAAAAATACAAATAAATTGAAACATAACTGAAAACACCTCAGCTTTTGCCACGCTAATCAGAAATACATACATACACACATTTATGATCTTCAAGTTCACATTTTGTAGCGATGATCGCTATCGGTGCTTCTAACTAACACACATTTATACACATACATGCAATGACACGTTCTCACAAGCCTTTGCGGCGCTGCTGTGCGTTGATTATTTGGCGTCTCGTGCGCCAACGGCGTCACCAATTAAATTTGTCACTTATATTCACATAACAATGGTTGAACTTAGCTCTGACGTTGGCGCCGGCCTCTGCTGCTATCAGTTTTCAATTCATTATCGCATCACGCCGTCTCCATCGTTGCAGTTAACGTGGCTGCGCCGCGCGTACGTATTTACATAAATATATCTATGTAGGTGTGCGTATGTGTATAACGACCGATACGATTGGCTTTACCCTGTAATAAAAACTACTGTTCGTTCTTCGGCATCCAACGACCGCATATCGAGTAACGGTCTGTGCCACAAGCATTGCGAAATTCCGTGAAAATACATATGTTTGTATATATGTATGTAGATATGAGTGTAGAGCAATGGTGAGTCAGTTTTTACCGGCTTTTGTCAGTTCAAACCAGTATGTCGTCTCTCGACTCTATACAGTTTGTAATAAAACATACCATTAAGAGGGTGTATACCGACATATAAATTTATTGATATTCTGGCTGGTTGAATGTGCATACAACTGTAAATATTTATGAATTTCGGTGAAGATGTTGTGGCAACGCCGACAGTGGACATTTTTTTTTTACTAAAATAGTTGAAATAAAAATTGACTATTTTAAAATCTAAGACGCTTTTGCTAACACACAAAAATATTTAAAAATTATTTACAGTGTGGCAATAATATTCATACACATATAATACACATTTTATTATATTGTATCTTCCAAAGTCTGCATTTTGCGTCATAGCCATAAATAAAACTCTGATATATCTCGCAAGTTACTTAATGTCTATGAATTTTGTCGTCTTGCAGACGCTTTTAATGTTGTTAACATTGTTTAATCTATTTGTTGATTATTTAAAATGCAGACATTTGACTGAAAATACGCACTTCACTTGTTATGATCGTAAAATGAATCAGCAAATATCAGTAAGGTTTGGTTATAACTGGTAATAATAGCAGAGAACGGAAATGAATTCATTTACGTTCTCTGATAATAGCGTAAGGCGGCTAGGCTGCTTAACAATATATTTAGCATGGTTCTAGGCGCTAGATGTTCTCGATATTTAATTTGTTACATGATTTATAAATTTATAGTTTTTTATAGAGTTGGTTTGATTAACAATTTCGTCATAATCCAACAAAAAGTTATTGCTTTTGATTGTTATTCTGTTAGACTGCTATTTTTGGTTTCAAAAATTATTATTTATTTGCTAAATTAGTAAGGAAATGAATTATTTTCAATCTTAAATTGGATATATAACGTCTGATCGAACTAATATACAAAACTTAATTTATTTAGAAAAGTTTATAATATAATTAAATTAAATATTTTTAGTGTTTGTGTTTTAATATATTATCTCTCTCAAAAACTCAACACTTATAATTACAATGCCTTTAAAAAACAATTTCTAAACAATATTATACAAATATATATCAATACCTGCTCATAAACTTGCTATCTCAAAAATAAATTATATATATTAATTTTGTTATTTTTTTTTCAAAGTTCGGTAGTGTAAATATGTTTGCTTGCATGAAATGATGTTCACACTTAAATATTTTACTTCGCCTTATCATCTCAAGCTTTAGGCGAGACACAAACCCAAAGCTAAGTGAACAAACTGACTCCAAGAAAATGAAAACTACATAGAATAGTATTTCATTGAAAGTTTTAATTAAAAACGATCTACTGCCAATGTTTTTATGACTTTAAGAGCTAACTATATATTATATATAGCTTTAATTCAAAATAAAACATTTTTGCCAGGCAGCAGTCGCCATTTTTATTAACGAATAGCACGGAAAGCAAAGCGTGCTTTCTTCGCTTTGTTGTTAAAGTTTGATTTGTCAACAAAGCGTGGAAAGTTGTATGTGAATGGGCTATAAGTTCTATTCATATGAAAGGGATAAACCTTAAGGCTCGTCTACCTTCGCGGTTTGGAAAAACTAATTTTTTTTGCATATTTCTA